TGTCCCGAAAATCCAGTTCGACGGCACGCATCCCATGTCTAGCGTACACATAGTCGCGGATACCGTCCTGATGATGGGGATATCCGAAGCTCCCCCGTCGCGGAAGGACTATCGATTTCACCGCTGCGCGTACTACTCGAGGCCACCAATACTCCCGCACATCCGGCACCACCACGACGGCGTGAGCCCTGCACTCCGACAGATGGTGAACAACGTGGCCTGCCATCCCGGGAGGCGGAAAGCAGTACCCGAACGCGGGTGTACCTACGCCCGGTGTGATCGCCACATCTTGGCAAAAGAAGTCCACGCCTGCCGTGCCGACACACTGGTACCGCGAGAAAAACGGCAATCTACTCGTCAATCCGGAACCCCCTGCCATCGTATACTGCGTGTTATCCGAGGACGGCATGAGATCGACGGTGAAGTCACCGAAGAATTCGCGCGACCGCTGAAACGCCACTGGCCGAAGTCGGATGGTTTCGTGGCGGCCCGGTCGTGTAATCCCATCTGCTACGCTATTCGCCTCCGACGGGACCCACCGTAGCGTAAGCCAAAATTCGTGTTCGACNAATCCCATCTGCTACGCTATTCGCCTCCGACGGGACCCACCGTAGCGTAAGCCAAAATTCGTGTTCGACTTGCAGCTCGTACAGGCTGACCAACATCGCATGTGTACTGGAATTGCCCGATCGTCCTTTCCGAAACGCGTCTACGACCGCTCGATTGTCGACATCCATCAATACCTGGGCTCGCTTAAGCTCCCCGGGCCTGGCTCTACAGCATTCTTTCAGCACTTCGAGCAAGGCAGACATCTCTTTGCTGTTAATGGACCTGGATAACCATGCGTCTGGGAACCCTCCTCCGGCCGAAAAATGTCCGCTCGGCAGAGACACCACGCCCCCATATTGGGTAGACGACGCATCCGACGATGCGGTAGTAAGAGAAACCTCATAATGCCTCGCTTTATACCACGGTCCCTCTTGAGCGGTCGACGACAAAGTCAGCCAAATGTTCAGCTCCGCGCGGAGATCGTGCTTATCTCGCAGCTGAATCTCGTGGCCCTTGGCCTTCGCAATCGCCGCAAACATATAGTGAGTCCAAAGGGAAGCCGGCCGAATCGCCACCGACATGCTGACACACTTCCCTGCAATCTTCTCCAACACCCGCACTGATACGGAACCCTTTGTAGGCACCTCTTCTCTAAGCTTATGAAGCTTGTGCAGCTTGTCTTCCGGAATGCGGAATGATGCGGTACGTGAGTCGCATATTATCCCCAGATATCGCTGCTGTTGGGACGGGTTGAGATCACATTTCTTGATGGACAAGAAATATCCACATCGATACGATACGAGGATACCTTGATGAAGGGGTTCGGCCGCTGATAGCCATTGCACTCTGTTCGACTCCCCAAAGGTAGCCACGAAATTCGCGTCCCACGCATCATCGATGTATGCCAGCACGGGAATACCCTTGGAACGCATATACGCCGCTTTCGCTTCGCTCAGAGAATGGTAACAAAACGGACTCTCGTTCCACCCAAACGGCAGTGTGGTACAAACGTAGTCGACGCCGTCGTAGTGCACGCCAAACAACGGCCAGCTTTCTGGCTGCAGGCTGAGGTTGTGGAAACCCGCGCGGTTATCCAAGCTTCCCATGAAAACCCCTTCGTCCGCCACGAGTGCTACTCTTGAAACCGTGTCCATCGTACACGGCACATGCTTATAGCACTTGTTAAGAGGGATACCGTTGATAATCATGCGCGGTTTGGTCGGTTCCACTGAGATAGACAGGATAATCCGCGGTCTATCCGGCCCCCCCGGTCCTTTTACTTCTCTCCATCGCGCCAAACATCCCCGCTTAGCCAGTGCTTGTACTTCGAGTCGCACAAATTCGGCATGCTCTTGTGGGATATGGTTAGGGAGTACGGCCCCCGGAAACGCCTCCGCACGATACGGTTCCTTACGAGACTTGCCTCGGTACTCGTCGTGAAGGAAATCGAATACACTGACCCCATGTCGGAGGAAAGAAAGAAGTTGGTCTCGCTGAGGGTGATCACGTAGGATGACTTTATCCCAAAATTCCCAGTTATGGTTTAGTCCCCCTGGAACGAAATGTTCGCCGTTCTCCCCGGCGTCCCGTACGGGTGCTTCCCACGGCATGCGTGTCTGCCCGTCCCCATACGTGGCACGCTGTGAGTCTGATTCCGTATGCACGCCATCTACCCTCGGCTGCCCCCGTGACCCCATCCACTCGCGTTGTTCGTCGGACAAATCGGGGACCTCAGGGAACGCAACCCTTACTTGTGCGTGCCGCCGCGCTAGGTTCTGCTGCCAATCGTCGGCGAAAACCTAGGTCGACACCACAACATGAAACATGGTACATCGATATGCAACGATTTTGTAACGGTGGAAATTGGTACCTCGTAGAAGGGATTGTCCGTCGGTCTAAATTTGCAACACGAACGAACTACGAGCGAACGCAGTTACGATGCACTGAAACCAGACGGACCCACCGAGAGACATGGCGGACGTAAGGAGAGCAGATACAACGACACTCCGGGCTGACTATCTTGCAGTTATTATATGATCTTATCATTTCCCTAATAAGAACCGTCGTAGTGTTAATACAAGGATGAAAGAAAAAACTGCCGAATTTTGCAGCCAATGCCTCCGCGTGGCAAAAGGTCGTTGTCTGCTTCTCCCTGATAATCCCACGCCCGGCCGATCAAAGTATGCCGCGGGGAGTAACGTTCAGGTTGTATTTATATATGATTTGTCATTTAGTGGAACGTGCACACATCCACCGCGGATCATGCCCCGGTCGTTATGGTAAACCGAGGACCGCCTCTATACACCCTGGTACTATGAACTCGATTCGAGCGACATACCCCACGTACCGACCCTTTCGTCACCGATCGATACACCCAACATGACAGACGCGATCAACATGTATCCAACGAGTTCAGATTACTCTGTCTTTAACTTACTCCGGAACCTTCGACGTCATGGGAACCAAGTACACGTATGACTCCGCTCTATGTTACTCCGTCCTTCATGTGCGACTGGACCTGCAATTCTCCGACATGATTTCTACACCGGCGGATTCGTGCATGCGGGCGTCCGGTGGCCGCCTTCTTTGCACCGCGAGCAGATCCAAAACGCGCACCTCAGGTGGTCGTGGTGTGGGTCCCGATTGTTGGCCACACATTTACGGCACGGGTCGAACGAACCGGGGATGCCCGGGTTTGCTAGTTGCTGTTGCTGGAGCGCGTGATTTTTCTGGTTGCGTATGTCGGCCGCCATCCGGAGTTGACTCGCCGACATCTGTGCTCCCGTCGTACCCCCCCCGGATCCTCGTCCCCGACCGCCCGCGTTCCGACCGGGCGGTCCCGGAGTATAGTGCCCAGCCGCTCCTTGCGCATAGGGCGAAGCGGCCGACGACCGGGCCTGCCGGCGAGGCTGCCGGAGGGCATGGGGTTGCCTCCCCTGCCACGGCGCGATCGCCGTCGCGGCCGGGGGAGGTGGGATGCCGATTGCACTCCCACCCGGGAAGAGCGGCGGCGGCAAGGGGGGCTGGCCGTACCCCAACCCCCCCATGGCTACTCCCGTGCTCGATATGTGAACGCCTCCTAAGGATTTGCGGATCCTCGCTACGTCCGCGGCAAAGAGGTCGTTGGCGACGCCATGCGCATTCGGTAACAAATTGGTGAACATCTCGAGGACATGGACTCCCGCCGCAGCGCCAGCCGTCCTACCAATCGCCGACACCAGCCTATCGCCCCGTGCCACCGCATCAGCAATGACCTTTATTTTCGTTGCCGGCTCTCCCACGGCGGTCATTATCTGGTGTGTCGCTACCAACGCGTTACGCAGGTTATCCCAGGTATAGAAGCCGCCGATATTGCGCGTAACTTGCAACACCGTGAGGAACGCGCTGAAAACCTGTGACGTAAAGCATCGCGTCGAAAAACCGGCGTGCGATTGTCTCGTCAAAAACCGTCGGTGCGTTCCCATCGTAGCTCGTCGTTGTCGCGAAATTCGTGCGAAGAACGAAGGAACCAGGATAGCTCATGAATTCGCGTCGAATATCATCGATTTATCCATCGTGGACCGTCGTCATTGTCATTCTAACGTAAACACATCGTTAGTGTGTGTCGCAAACCGTCGTCGTTGTCGCGAAATTTCGTGCAAAAGGAACGGATGGCTCGAAATCGCGCGCATCCTCGTATAACGGAAACACATTCTTTGCTTGCGTCGCAACTCTTCGTCGTCGTCGCTAAAATTCATGTAAACCAACGGATGGCTCGAAACCGCACGCATCCTCGCTGAACGTAACACCACGGCCCACGAATTTACGTCGAATATCGTGGGTTTTAATATGTCGCAAATCGTCGTCGTTGTCGCGAAAATTCGTGCAAAACAACAGGATGGCTCGAAGCCGCACGCATCCTCGTTAAACGTAAACACACTATTTGCATGCGTCGCAAACCGTCGTCGTTACCGCGAAAATTCGTGCAGAGCAAACGGATGGGTCGAAGCAGCACGCATCCTAGTAAAACTTAAGTCACATGATTCGCATGCGTCGCAAACCGTCGTCGGTGTCGCGAACATTCGTGAAAACAAACGGATGGCTCGAAGCAGCACGCATCCTCGTTAAACGTATTAACACCCTGCGCATGCGTCGCAACCGTCATCGGTATCGCGGAATTTCGTGCAAAACAACCGGATGGCTCGAAGTAGCACGCCTCCTCGTTAACCGTAAACACAGTATTTGCGCGTCGCAAATCGTGGTCGTTGTCGCGAAAATTCGTGCAAAACAAACGGATGGCTCGAAGCAGCACGCATCCTCGTTAACCGTAAACACAGTATTTGCGCGTCGCAAATCGTGGTCGTTGTCGCGAAAAAACCGTGCAAAACAAACGGATGGCGCGAAGCCGCACGCATCCTCGTTAAACGTAAACACAGTATTTGCGCGTCGCAGATCGTGGTTGTTGTCGCGAAAATTCGTGCAAAACAACCGGATGGCTCGAAGTAGCACGCCTCCTCGTTAACCGTAAACACAGTATTTGCGCGTCGCAAATCGTGGTCGTTGTCGCGAAAATTCGTGCAAAACAACCGGATGGCTCGAAGTAGCACGCCTCCTCGTTAACCGTAAACACAGTATTTGCGCGTCGCAAATCGTGGTCGTTGTCGCGAAAATTCGTGCAAAACAAACGGATGGCTCGAAGTAACACGCATCCTCGTTAATCGTAATCACATTATTCGCATGCATCGCAGACCGTCGTCGTTACCGCGAAATTCGTGCAAAACAACAGGATGGCGCGAAGCAGCACGCATCCTTGTTAAACGTAAACACAGTCTTTGCATGCGTCGCAAATCGTCGTCGTTGTCGCGAAAATTCGTGCCCCTAAACAGATCGAAATAGCCGACGGGTGGCGTCACATAACGTCTGTTCCTATACGTCGCACATTGTTGTTATCGTAAAATAAATCCATGCAGCCGCTAGTTTCATCTCCTGACTGTCAACGACCCGTAAGAGAGGCGCATTCCATGTCCCGATATAGCCACGTCGTCTATCACATCTCCCCACGCACTGATTATCGCGTACATGCCGATTTACGTTGCAATTGCATCGGCCGAACTGCAATAGAGCTGGTATGGCACTGAAACAATAGAGCGGGTTCGTCCACTAAAACCATATAACGGACTAATTCGGCCTGTCCCTGTTCGTTGATGCTCCGAATCCGAAATGACTGTGCCGATTCGGCCTCCTCGATGGGGTCAGAAATGTCTTGAAGATAGACTAGGTGCGGAATTTGCGAATTTTCTCAAAGCGACGAATCAAAACTAACGACGCCCTACGCCGACAACTGACTGCCGTTCTCACCTCCGCGGGACCGGTGGCAGCCGTGACCACGTCCATGTACGCNATAGAGCGGGTGTGCGTCATGTCCCTGCATGTTGGTCCTCGGAATCGTAAAATTGACTTCGATGGAATATCCCCGGCCTTTGTAATTTCATCGTAAATCGTGGTCGTTGTCGCGAGAAAAAATCGTGCAAAACAAACGGATGGCTCGAAGTAACACGCATCCTCGTTAACCGT